CGCGACGCCGGGTCGGTCGCCCCGCTCCCTCCGCCTGCGCGTCCCGCGCGTTCCCCACCCGCACAGCGGAGCCTGCGTGGGTTTGCTGTCCAGCGACGACAAGGTTACCTACGGGACGTGAAATCGAGTTGCAGTAAACGTTGTATTTTAAACCGTAACCTAAGAAGTCGCCCCTAAGCGCGCACAGCCCGCGGGCTAGTTACGCGCAGCTTTCAGGGGACCCGCGCCGGGCAGTGCGGGGCGTCGGCTGACGCTTGTCCAGCGTTTAACAAAACCGAACGACGTGTCTGATACCTTCTTCCTGGCCTCCCAGCGCAGAGTAGGTGCGAATGGGCCTTTCGTCTCGTCTGAATGACCGTGACCCCCGGAGACGCGCCCCTGCCGAGTCCGGGTCCAGGTAGCGCTGTAACTGCAGGCGCACCTCGGACACGGGGGTTCCTCGGACACGGGGGTTCGGAGCCAGGCCACGGCAGGAAAGGAAACTGCGATCAAGTGAGGGACATGAATGTTTGGGGTTCCCAGTGCGTGTGAAAGTCGTGTTCACACTATCCTGTAGTCTGTTATAAAGTGTGCATTAGCATTAGGTCTTAAAAAACAATGGAGTTACCTTAATTAAAACAGACTTTATTGCTAAAAAACCATCATCTGAGCCTTGCTGAAAGATGACATCAACAGGCTTCCGTGACACAAGTCGCCGCAAACCTTCAGTTCACTAAAAAAATGAAATAGGTGGAAAGCACAATAAAGCAAAGCGCAGTGACACTGACCTACGGGACTCAAACTGCATTTACCTTGTAGGAAAATGGAAGAAAACCGAACAGAATGAACAATAATTAAAAGCACATTAGAGAAAAACACACTGTTCGGGAAGTAAAACCTGTAACAATCCACAAGAGCCCATGCTCCGGGATTTCTCTTCTCTACTGCGTGACCAACGCTCAGTCCCCAGCAAACCACCATCTCCTAAATGACTCACAGGTCTCATCAAGCCGGGGCGTGGAGGTCAGGGGAAGCCACTCCGTGCACTGCGTCACCTCTGAGGACTGCATCCTGGTCCCCACCGTTGAGATGCAGCCAACATTCCCAACCCAATGGGCCACCCCGGGCATTGCTGGCACACGGAGGGTAATCCCAGCACACTCCCCCCCCTCAAGTAAACACTTGCTGCGGACATGAGGAAGATTATTGTAGGAATGAACCCACTGCTGCTCTAAGCCCACAGGAAAAGTGCAGCACTCACAAGCACCACTACAACAAATTATTTGCAAGAACCCTCACAAATGACTGTCAGTTAAAGCTGACGATTGCAATGGACCCCCCACCATGACCACCACCCCAGGCTGGTGTAGTGCAGGTACCACTCTTACTGTCACTTGCAAATCTTCTAGAAAGGAGGTCACATTCTTAAGCGGCTGAAATTGGAAACAAGCTGACGCTTCTTTCAGGTAGAAACTGACAATGAACAAAGAAAAACAGGAGGGAAGGCAGCCCAGAGGGTAGAGAAAATCACAGAAAAGGAACAGAAGGTGACCAGGGAGAGTGGCCTCATGGGTCTAACGTGGGAGGAGCACCTCTTTTGAAAAACTGAAGCACAAACCACCCCCTGGGAAGTAGGGTCCTGGGAAATCCTATACAGGTGTTTACACTGTTTACTTACTTACTAGTTACTGCTGGTCCTAGCTCTCTCAGGAGACATAAACATATCTGAACGGATGTCTCGCTGACAAAGACCAGGCTACTAGGACAGAAGAAAGAGTTGAGTTTTTTTCATTCAAAATGAGCCTCATGTCAAGTTCAGGTGCTTTACAGGTGCTTCTGCTGTGTTGCTTTGATACAGGGCAGAATCAGTAAGCAGTGTAGTCCAGTGAAACACTCCACCCAAAAGAAAGAGCAATGTGCAAGTATTTATTTTAATTACTCCTAGTGGAAGGCTCTTGTCTTTGGACAAGAGCAAGGCATCTTATTATCCATTCTTTCCACTCCTTAAAGGCTTCCACAGGTTTGGGCAAATTCACTTTCTCCTCACGACGATGTCCCGGGGTGACTTGGGGTGTGTCAGCAGATTCATCATCAATCCACCTCACCAGCGCCTTGGAAGGAAGAAAGGAGGTTAGTATTTGAACCAAGCACAGCAAAAATAGTTTTAGGAAGAGAGGAACACTGGCTTCTAAATCAGGTTCTCTGAATCGGTGACTGAGATGCCCCAGGAAGGCGTCCCATCTGATAGAGACGGTTATGAGTATGAAAAAAGCACGTATGCTGACACATTGAGTGAAGGAACATATCCCCAAACATGCAAACTACGACCGTAAATTACAGTCACAAGCATGCGTAGGAGAAAAGATTAAAGGTAACCATGCCAATCCTCACCGCTTTTTAGGGTGGGAGAATTATTATAATTATTCTTTTCTCAACTTGCCAAATGTTCCACAAGGCACTCAACTGCTTTTTATTTGATGTGACTGTGTACGTATATGGAAGTGAGCACATACGTAAGTGTACACACAGCTAAGGGCAGGCAAATGTACATGAAGGTACACGCAGACGTCTACCGCAGTCACCTGAATGAATGGCTGTACCCGTGAGTGCTTAACTGTATACTGATGTCTGTGGGCACACGTGGACACACACAGATCCCACTTACTGAGATGATGTACCTTCCCTCTTCCTTCTTAAAATCATCTTTTCCTCCTAATGACTACCATACCTCTGTCCCATATTTGGTAAGGTAAATCACCTCCACATATTCATATAGTTTTTAAAAACGAACTTTGCACACATATAAATACTAATTCTGTTCTGAAAATTCAGGCTCTCTTGTAAACGAATGGCAAATACAGACACCTCTTCCACCACTGCTCACTGAACTAAAGCGTAAGGCACTCAGAGGCAAGTCAAAGTTTTTAAGGAGGATATTTCTTTATATGTTTTTTTTTTTTTAAACCACAGTTTCCTGCTTATCTCTGCACTAATTTCCTCTGATAAATGGCAGCTCCAGATACAGGCCTAATAGAAAAATCGTAGTTTGCTACTTATCTGACCACTTCCCCCTTTTTGACTACCCTCCCCCCAACTTACTTTGTATCTCTCTACAATGTTGAAGCCGATAGCACACTGCAACTTGCGTAAACAGATAGGGCACAGATCTAGGGGGCGCCGGTCGGCTTCTTCCAAGTGGTTGGAGCCTTGCATTAAGCATGCCAGCCACTGGCAGTGTCGAAGTCCAAATATGTGTCCAATCTCGTGGGTTAAAGTCTGCAAGACATTCACATTGAGGCTTTATTGCACCACCATTGTCAACAATAAGTTACACACCCCTTTTCTTCCTTTTCCAAGGAACAAATTTGCAGGAATCAGCTCCCTTACCATCATCACCAAAACTTCAAATCTGCCCAAAGACTTAACCCCTCATTTCCTTAAAAGTCTTACTGCTTTCCTCACTGTACATGACCACTTAATTACCTCTGGACCAGGCTTTCTCAATCTTGACACCAGGCTTTCTCAAATCTCGGTACTTTGCGTGGGATCTTTCTTTGGGGCAAGGAGGCTATCCTGTACCCTGTAGGACGCTTAGCAGCATCCCTGGCCTCTACCTACTAGATGCCAGTAGCAGCCACTCCCCAGCTGTGACAACCAGAAATGTCTCCCCATATTGCCCAAAGAGCCCTGGGTGGTGACCCTGCCCCTGGTCGAGAGCCAGTGCTCTAGAGCAGTGGGGTACGTGTAGCCATTTAAATTCTGGGGCCCTCCCCCAGAGGTGGTGTCAGTAGGTCGGGGAGGAGGGGCTTGACCTGCATGTTAACGATCACATGCGGTGGTGCTGATGCAGGAATGTACACTGAAAACAGTGCTCTGTGAGGTGTAGTTCTCAAACCCCACAGGTGGTACTGGTGAAAGCAGAAAAGCCTATGTCCCTGGCAATGGGAAATGGAAAAAATGAGGCGACAGGCTTTCCAAAGAGCAGTGGTGGGGGAGACATCAGGAACTGTGTCAGTAGAACTGACTGCAGTAGAAGGTAGCTTGGAGACCAAGAGGAAGGCCACTGTCCTTGAGAGGCCGGAAAGCACAGATCCCCCAGGCCCCAGGAAGGCAGCTTTACCTGACGACCACAGCAGCCTGAAAGGGTAGGTTACCTACTCATGCCAGAATTCTGCAATTAAACTGCTGGTGAGGGGGTGGGTAAAGCCAAGGCTGCGTATAACCAACAGGACCAAAAGCTGGCACAGACACTGTAAGGTTCAACATTAACGTATCCATTTAAATTGCTCTTATTGATAATTTCAGTCAAGCAATGGCCACCGAAAGTATACAAATGATACAAACTCATTTATAATGACCTTAAGGAGTGTTAATGTACTACTGAGGGAATTAAGATCTCTTTAAAGATAGTCCTACCGGACTTGCAAACAACTCACCTTACAGGACCGGAGCAGCAAAACGCTAGTCACTGCGGGAGTATGGTAGTTGAACACCGGATAGCCGCTGGAAGATGTCCTCTGCGACGCCTTCACTCTGTCCTGATAGCTTGAGCTGTAAAAATCACTGGCATACCTGGCAAAGCTGAATATCCCCACACCTACAAGACGACAAGCGACAGCAGGATGAGAGCAAGGCTCCCGAAGGAAAGACCGCAAAGGGCCTGCTAGGGCGCAGGGTCAGGGAGAGCGAGTCTGGACTCGAGCGCTCACGGCGCCCAACACACGTAAGGTTTGCCAAGACCAAGGAAGATTCTGCCCGAGTCCCTATCGAAACCTTCTTCTACTATCCAGTCTGTCCTGCCGGCAAAACTCAATAGTTTTGAGGTCAAATTCTTGACAAACTGGACATTCCAGAGGGTTTTGTTTTCCCACAAAAGAAGTCTTTTTCTGCAAAAAGAGCCCACATCAAGTACTCCAGGAGGAGCAACGAAAATGATCACACGAACAACCACGCGCACGATGTCCCCCTGTAAGACCACGCTAGCCCTGGCTGGTCTGGCTCAGTGGTCAAAGTGCCGGCCCGCGGACCCAAGGGCCCCGGGTTTGATTCTGGCCAAGGGCACGTACCTCGCGTGGTTGCAGGCTGGATCCTGGCCCTGGCTGGGGTGTGTGCGGGAGGCAACTGTCAATGTTTTTTCTCTCTCTCTCCCGCCCACTCTCTCTCTCTGAAAAGCAACAGAAAAAACTAAAAAAAACGCGAACACGATAAACAGATTTCCGTGCCCTATGTGTCAGTGAGGGTGCCTGTACCCTCTCATGCCAGCTACTGGGGAAACTGCCCAGCCACTGCCCTGGGCGCCTTGGAGATCACACTTGGGCCCATGCCTTTGGACAGAAGACAGCCCC